TATCTATCTATCTATCTATCTATCTGTCTGTCTGTCTGTCTGTCTCTGTCTATCTATCTGTCTTTGTCTGCCTGTCTGTCTGCCTGCCTGCCTGTCTGTCTGTCTGTCTATCACCTGTCTGTTTCTATCTATCTATCTATCTATCTATCTATCTATCTATCTATCTATCTATCTATCTATCTATCTATCTATCTATCTATCTATCTGTCTGTCTGTCTATTTATCTATTTATCTATTGGTCTGTCTATATCTGTCTGTCTGTCTGTCTAGACTGTGATGTTGTTTATCTGATTCGTTTCACTCCATTATAATTGTATCACATTCTGTTGTTCAGGATGAGATCACTGCTCTGAGGAGACGTCTGGAAAAGTCAGAGAAAGAACGAAATGAGCTGCGTCAGACTGCAGACAACCTGGAGACCAAGGTATATGTTTGTGCCGTGCCCCCTGAGCCACATATGAAATGATACTGTCAGATCAGAAATCTCAAAATCAAATTTTCTAGCAGTTGGTGTTCACAGTGATGGATGGAGTCTGGTTATGAATTCTCATCAGTGAAAGCATATTAACACAAATTCGCTTGTGATCAGCTCATGAAGTGCTAATCTCTGTCATATGACTGCTACTGATGAATGAACAGCTCTTCTGCTGAGACATTGAAAGATGATGGTGCGTCTGTGTGTGCAGGTTACGGCTGTTGTATCTGAATTAAGTGATGAGAGGTTCAGAGGGGAGGCCGTGAGTCAAGCTCTAGACACTGAGCGCACAGAGAGACTGCGCCTCGCCAAAGAGAACAAGGAACTGCAGGTACAGCCCTCCCATCATTTGTCTCCATATCTCTCTTTCTAATTGGTGAAATTGCATCACAAACTATCCATGATGTGTCCACGTGATGAGTTATAATGGCAACATTCAGAATATCATGCTACTCATATTAGTTCTGCACAGGGCCAGAGTGGGACTCATTTTCAGCCCTGGAGTTTCATGACTTAGACCGGCCCACTTTAGTTCACGACTGACTATATTACAGTTTTTCTCAATTGCTTTGGCACATTTTTCGAAACAATCTTAACATTCTCTAAACTGTGAGTGCAAATGTCACAACTGTTTGCTGGAACTTCAGAACTTTATTGCATGTCTGCAAAATGTAGTTACTCACCCAAAACATTTCATTCATGCTTCAAAACCTAGTTATCGTGTCAGTAATTTGGCCAAGGCCACCAAAATATAAAGTATTTTTGTCATCGTGTGAGCCATTCGAGAATTGAGCCAAAGCAATTGAGAAAAACTGTAAAATAATGTAATTGTATATAAGTCTACAATGGTGCACTGTTCTCTACAGCCTTGTAATTCATTGTATTTTTCTAGAGCTTTCGTTTTGATGTAAAAATCTTATCTTCAGAAATGGAAAATAAGGTAATTTTTTAAAGGAAATAAGGGGCAGAATAAATGCCTGCAGTTAAAAAGTTCTCAGAAATAATCATAATCCTCCCGGTTTAGATCTATTAAAAAAATCTATTTAAAAAAGCAAATTAACCCGTTTTTAGATCACTTTTTAGATAACACATACCAAAAATAATAGGTTGCTTACAGTATATTTACTCTCGATATCAAAATCTATCTATATAGATAGATATAGATGTAGATAAATATATGTAGATAAGTATAGACAGATAAATATACAGTATAGATATGCCAAACAATACCAGTATGAGTATACTGCATAAAATACTGTATTCCACAATGCAATGTGCTCAACCCAGGGTTGTTTTAGTATCATTAAAAAAATACTATTACTGTTTTTTTTATTTTTGTTTTTTATTTTATTTAAAAAAAAGATTTGAATGTTTATTTTAGAATTTTTTTTGCATTTTAGTTTTAGTTTTTTGTTGTTGTTTTTTATGTCTATATAGTTTTTATTCATTTTAAAATTTATTTCATTTTTCATTATTTTAGTACATCATGTTAAACTAAATGAAAAAAAATATATATATATAAAATACACACACATGCATGTATATATTTAAGAAAAATGTTATGTTTATATATTTAAAAATATTTGTATATATAATATAAGTTATAAAAATATACTATTATAAAAAAAATGTGAAATGTAATTTACATTATAAACAGTAATATTCTACTGTAGATTGTCACATGACCTAATCAGGTTACATGTTTAATTCAGCAAATGGCATCCAGTTAGCATCTTTCATAAGATATTTTGTATTTTTAAATTACTTTTGTGTACAAAGACCTTTTCTTCTGACAGTCGAAATAAATAATGAGTCGAGAAAGAGATGAATCATTAAAAATTGTGGCTGGTTCAAAAATTACTGGTTCATTTGTCACACTAGAAATGTAAGGTCAAGCAGAGGGCAATGCATTGTGGGATAAAGTACTAATAATTTATTGTATATTGCACATTTTAGCAAATTTAGTACTGTAGGTAATTTATCCCATGCGTATAGAAAATTAGCATATTTTGCACATTATACATACTATATAATGCAGAAAAAGTATGATTAGTATGCTTTTCCAAATATAGCCTGTCATATTGTCCCAAACGCCTCACCGCTGTGTCTCCTGTTGAATTGTGGGCGTCAGGCCCGTGTGTTTATTCTGTGCTGTGTCTCAGAGTCGTGTGGAACAGAGTAAAGTGTCTTTGGAGGCCCTCGAGAGGCAGTTAGAGGAAGAAAAACAGAAAGTCAAGAATAAAGAAGCTCTCAGCGGAGTGGCGACAGGTAAGACAGGCTTAAGCGTAGATGCAATCAAACATGCTGGCGAAGAAAGATAATGACTGTTTGCGTGGGTGTGTGTGAATCCTGCATGTGCACGCAGAAAGTGAGCTGCAGCTGCAGCTGGAATGTGCGCAGACAGAGGTGGAGTTCCTGCGCAGGCGTCTGCGGCAGTCGGAGGAAAGACTTGATGGTGAGAAAGAGGCCCGTCAGCTATTGGATACAAAGGTATTAATATTAAGTATTACATTAATTATGACCTTAAAGAGACACCTTATAGTATTAGTCAAGGTTTCTTGCACCAAGCACTCAATTTCAGTTTTCATAAATGGTCTTGATTAGTTTTGTTATAGTTAACTTGAACATTTAAAATGTCAGTGATTGAAATGAAGTTAAAAGAAAATGATACTTGAAAAACGATAAATCAGATGATAATCAGAAATATTGGTTTGGCAACTAACAAAAAAAAATGTAGTTTATGTTGAAGAACTAAAATGACTGAACCTGAAATAAATATAAATATATATAAAAATTACAAAAGCACAACAAAATGACTAAAACTTAGACTAAAATTTAAATGAAAACTGAAAATAAAAAATGAAAGCTAGTTCAAATTATTATTAATATTGTAGTATTTAAATATTACTAAAATAACACTAAAGTCAGATTTTGTATACAATACAAAACAAATAGAAATCTTCACCACGCACACACACACAAATCTATATTTCTTTCATTATTGCTCAGGAAAAAGATACAGCTCATTTAACGTGTAGTGGGGAATGTTGTCACACAATATAAGGTACAATTTGTTTATTGACATTAATTTCAAAAGAATATAACTTTTTTATTATTAATTATCTACAGTTAAAAAGCTGTCTTCAGAGCATCAGTAATTTAATGTGCATTATAGAATATAAAGGCTTTTAAATAAAATATACAGTTATGAAATGATAACATTACAGTTCCTGAAACAACAAAAATGTAAAATACAAAATAATAAAATGTAATTAATTTTTATTGTATAGATAAAAAAACATAAAAGATATATGTGTGTGTGTGTTTAAAATAATAAAATATGATATTGAAATAGATTTTATTTATTTTTCGAAATACAGCATTATTTTTTATTATTAATTCACTAAAATTATTCTAATTGAAGGCTAAGCTACTATTAAGAGAACACAAGCATTTATGAAACTGGACTCAAAAGCATATAGTGCTTCTGACGACTAGCCCTAGTGTATGCCATTTATTTAACACTGACCAAGTCTATATATGATCAATCCTGTTTGATTTGTTCTGCAGAGAATGGCATACTGAATATATTAAGAGCTCAGATATAAAATACTACAGATGAAATGTTTGTCATGTGCACTGCACTGAATGACCCTGTCATGTCCAGTGGGCGGCACATGGTCCCTTCCTGATGATCTTTGTCTCTCGATCTCCCCCGTGTGGCAGGTAAAGGAACTGCAGTCTCAGCTTGATCAATCCAAACGCTCAGTGACAGAGCTAAAACGCCACTGCAGGCGGTTGACCTCCGACCTTCAGGATGCCCGTGTGCTGACAGACAGCCTGCAGGGCCGCGCTCACGAGCTGGACAGGAAACAGAGGAGGTCTGTCTCATTTACACATAATTCATTAATATCCAGTGCCACGCTCACTGGTTGCTTGAATATGCATTCTCAAGCCCTCTGCCTGGTCTCTGTGTGTGTGTGCGTGTGTGTGTGTGTGTGTGTGTAGGTTTGACAGCGAACTGACCCAGGCGCTGGAACAGGCTGATAATGAGAGGGAGCAGAAGGAGAGAGCCATCCAGGAGAATACCGCCCTCGGTGCAGAGATCTTCACCCTTCGCAAGATGCTCAAGGTACGGGCCGAGGTCAAAGGTCAAGTGTCCACCATCTGTGATCGTGCCCGTGTACTCCGGGTGTCCTCTGTTGGTAAACTGAACGAGTCCCCAGAGATCCCAAATATGCAGAGGAGAAAAGTTCTGCTTTGAGTTCATCAGATTATATAACTTCACAGTGTCATTATAGGAAAATAAATGAATGTGTCAAGTTTATACTGCTTTGATAGATGTCAGTGGTCAATACATGGGCAATACACATGCACACATTTATATCTACATTATGCATTCTTGTATTTGAATATAGTGTGTTTTTTCTGTTCGAATGACTGTATGTGGTTTTTGGTGGTGTGTGTTTGTGATTGTAATTGTTTGTTTTTGTGCATTGTGTGTGAGTGTGTGTGTATATGCTGTTGTGTTTATGCGTACTGTTTGTGCTTGTTTGTATAATTGGGTGTTTGTATACATACATGTGTATGTGTTTATGTATGGTTATATGTCTGTGATTGTATTTTTGCATCATTGTGCAATTTTTGCATGTGTGCATTTGCTTTTGTGTGTTTGTGTACTGTATGTGCATGCATGTTTGTCTGTTGTATGTATCTATGTTTTTTGTTAATTGTGTGTTTGTGCAATATATTTTGTGTGTGTTTGCTTTTGTGTGTGTGTGTATGTTTGATTGTTTTGTGTATTTATGCATTTGCGCTTGTTTGCATAATTGTGTTTTTGTGTGTGTATGTGAATTTGTGTTTTTATGCATTTATTATGTGTGTGTTTATTTTTTGTTGTTGTGTGTACTATTTTTATGTGTTTGTGACTTGGTGTGGTGATTACTGTGTGTGTGTGTTTATGTGTCTGTGATTGTTTTTTTGTGCATTGTTGTGTGTATTTGCTTTCAAGTTTATTGTTTTGTGTGTTTTTGCATTGTGATTGTTTGTATATTTTTTGTGTAAGTTTGCATGCATATATGCGAGCGTGTTTGTGTGTTTGTTTATTTGTCATGGTTTGTATTTTTGTGTTTGTGACTATCTGTATGTGTCTGTTTTTTTTATGCACATGTTTGTGTGTTTCTGCCATTGTATTTTTATGTTTGAATAGGCCTATTCATATGATTTGTTTGCATTTTTTGTGTGTATTTGCTTTTAAGTTTGTTTATTATTGTTATGTGTGTTTTTGCATTTGTGCTTGTTTGTATGATGTGTGCATTATTGTGTTTGTTTGTGCCATTTTTATGTGTATGTTTGCTTTTGAGTTTTTGTTTATGATAAGCTTGTTTGTATAATTGTTTGTGTATGTATATGTGTGTATAAGCATGCATGTTTATGTGTGTTATTTGTGTTGATGTTGTTTGTATTTTATTTGTTTGTATGATTTTGTGTGTGTGTTTGTCTTGTATGTGTTTTTGCTCCTGCATATTATGCAATTGATGTTTTTTGTGTATTTACGTTTACATGATGTGTGTATGATTATGTTTGTGTGTTTCAGGAGAGTCAGGTGGAGGTCACGCACCTGCAGCAGCAGAAGGAGGAACTGTGTGCTCAGATCCGTGACCTGAGCATCCCGCTCCACCTCACCTCTGACTCCATCCCTGAACTGAAGAAGAAGTTCCGTGAACTGGAGACCAGAGACAAGGAGCGCTCAGACGAGATCAGCCAGATGACTGCCAGAATCAAACAGCAGGAGCAGGTACAGTAATGCAAGAACATTTGACCTATTGAAAAGGTTATGACATAATAACCATAAGCACATTAACATGTGACCGCCCACATTTACATAAGTCTTAAAGACGCAATAACACAAACAGGCCATCTGAACTCTGTTCTGCACAGATGCACCTTCGCTTTGAGATGGAGATGGAAAGGATGAAACAGATCCATCAGAAGGAGCTGGAGGACAAGGACGAGGAACTGGAGGACGTGCAAAAGTCCTCACAGAGACGGGTGAGGGATGCAGAATGAATTACAGCTCGACAGACCACCTTACAACCCTGTCTCAAACATCCTTTCCTGTCTGTCTCTGTGTGTGTTTGTGTGTGTGCAGCTCCGACAGCTGGAGATGCAACTGGAACAGGAATATGAGGAAAAACAGATGGTGGTTCATGAGAAGCATGACTTAGAGGGGCTGATTGCCACACTGTGTGAACAGGTAACACACACACACACACACACACACACACACACAAAAAAACCCTATAAAAATTTTATAATTAAAAAACATTGTATACAAAATATAAACATTGTATATAAC